AAAATAGTTTTATTGGATATCATTAGGAACTCCAAAAGAAGAAGAGAATGGTTTTGGAAAACAACTAACGTTTGCTACAGAGGAAGAGGAGGCAATAAAATAAATTTAACATATACCATTGAGCACCTAACAAAAATTTCAAGAGCTAAGAAGGTACCTTGAAAAATAGTCTTAAAGCTATTCAAAAATTCAAACTTAATCTTACTGTGTGATCTAAGATTTCTTCTCCTAGATACATTCCCAAGAGAATTTCCATACAAAAATATGTACACAAATGTTTATTAGCATTATTCATAATAGCTCAAAGGAGGAAAATTCACAAATGCTTATTAATGAGTACATAAAATGTGCTATGCCCATACAGTGGAATATTATTGCACTATTGAAAAGAAACCATATGCTCAGCATAGATAAAACTTGAAGATATGGGATAATAGTGGGGGGGGAAGAAGGAGGTAACAATGCTCAATAGGAAATGTACTCTTTACCTAACTCATGTTACTGTAACCCCTCTCTATAGTATCTTTACAATAAAAATATATATTAAAAAAACTTGAAGATATTATGTTCAGTGAAAGGACCAGTCAGAAATGAGTAAACATTTATTATTCCATCTATATGAAATGTCCAGCATAGTCAGTATGCAGACAGAAATTTGGAAGATTTGCTTGAGCCAAATTGGAAGTGACTATTCATTGGTATGTGGTTTCTTTTTAGGGTGGTGGAAATATTATAAAGTTCACAGTGGTAATGTTTATCTAACTTTACATAATATACTAAGTCACTGAATACCCACTATAAAAATGGGTATCATATTTGAATTTTTTCTGAGCAAGTTTGTATGCATAAAAGAATATGCTAGCTACAAGGAGCAAAAGAACAAGTGTAATAATAAACCCCAGGCCTGGTGATTGGGGGTGTAGCTCACTCTGTGGTAGAGTGCTTGTCTACCCTATACAAGGCATTGAGTTCTACCTCCAGCGTTGCTGAAGTCCAACAATCACAGCCTGGGCAGAAAAGTCCTTGAGACTCTATCTCCAATTAGCCAGCAAAATGCTAAACTGGAAGTGTGACTCAAGCAGTAGCGTGCTATCTATGAGTGAACAATGAGAGAAAGAGTGTGAGGCCCTGAGTTCAAGCTCTGGTACTAATATAGAATGAGAAGAAGGGGGAGAGGGAGGAAGAAGAGGAGGAGGAGAAGAGAAGGAAGAAAGAGAAGAGTAGAAGGAGAAGTAAAGGAAGAAGAAGAGGAGGAAGAAAAGAAACATAACAAACATTCCTGGGATTACATTCAGTCTACCCATCACCAATTTGTGGTACTGGAAGTAGATACTGAGATCTTCAGCTTGAAGCTTTTTCATTTCATTGCAGAGAAGCCTAATTGAGGGGGAGGGGGATGGAGTTAATGAGTAACATTATGACAAAATGAGGAATGAACATGATACCTAACTGACCAACTACAGAAAAGAAGAGAGTTTGGGGCTGGGAAGGTAGCTCAGTGGTAGAGTGCTTGCCTTGCATGCATGAGGCCCTGGGTTCAATTCCTCAGCCCCACATAAGCAAAAAGAAAAAAGCCAGAAGTGGCGCTGTGGCTCAAGTGGTAGAGCGCTAGCCTTGAGCTGAAGAGCTGAGGGACAGTGCCCAGGCCCAGAGTTCAGGCCCCATGACTGGACCCCACCCCCAAAAAAAAGAAAATAAAAGAAGAGAGTTAGGCACTAAACCCAAACTTAAACATGTCTCCCTGGATAAGCACACGTGACTGTATGGACTGAGCCAGGAAGTGCTCTTGAGAGAAGAAAAAAGCTCTGAAATAATATCACCTGGGGCTCAAATTCAGGCATTGCCAAGGGTTATTATAATATTAGATTGACTGTTCCCAGTTTTCCTTATTGATAAAGAAGACAAATAATAGCTATCCTTTGTGTGGTAGAGAGCCAAGCCACAGAGCATCAGGTATAATAAATGTCTTCAGATTTATCAGCCCTGTGCAGATCTGTCATTCTATTTCCATTACTCCCTTGTCAAAAAAATTCAGCATGTAGGCTTTTCCTGTGTTCTGTGGGAAGCCATTGGTATTATCTGGAGTATTTACTGGAGTAATTGTATGAAATCTTATTTCACTTCACTGTTACCTAATCTCAACCGAGAAATAGAGATGGGAAAATTATTTACCCAAATAATATTCATAGTTGGACCTAGAAGAGTCTGGAGGCAGATTTTGGTATCTTAGATTAAGCTGCAAGGAAGAAGTTTGTGGTGTGACCTGGGAGAGTACAAAGCCAGCAGACCTACTTTGCCCTCATTACTCCTTATAGAGGCCGGCCAGCCTTCCTCCCACCACTCCCTACCAAATGGTTGGAGACTGTTTTGGGGGGGTTTTAAATGGCCTTTTCAGTAAAAGTGAAATCAATATTCTTTTCAGCCTGGGCATTTAGCAGATAATGTCTCCCCATAAATCATGGGCATAATGACACTGGAATAATTCATCATCTCATTACATTTACATAGGATGCACCACATTGTTCTCAGGCGAAGGTTATCTTTCCTGCCTGGGACTCCATCCAGAAACAAATAAAAGACCAAGGAACCTGATTATTTCATGGTCCGTTTATAGATGCTGTTGTGGATCAGTTTTCCATCTGTCAGCTCCTTTTTTTCTTTACAGTCCTCCTATGTGCACACTGCAGAATCATACCCCTTCAGCTCAAGAATTTCAATAACTTTTAAAACTTTGTTGGAAGAACTGCTTGTCTAGCCTGAAGAGGTTTTCTATACTCAGGACTTCTTATATCAGCACCAGGTTCAAGATCATCAGTAAAATAGCCATGTGTCTTATTGAGCACTTACTTTGTGTCAGGTATGGAACTTGATGCCCAGGATGACCAGGGAAAATAAAGAGATGTTAGAATCCAGGTTTGGGTCAAGATTTCAGAGGAAAAACAAGAGTGTGAATTTCAGAGTTCCCACTAATTATATAACTTTAACTTCCCTTTGATTTGTTAGTTTTTGAGTTTCAGATTCTTCAAATATTAAAAAAAAGGAGTACTAATATCTTAATCAGGCTACTGGGAAGATTAAAAGAGATTATATATGCCAAAACAGAAAAGATACGGAGATTAAGAAGCTAAGCTGGGTCCCTTAGCAGTGAGTTTGAATCCCTGCTGTGCTATTACCTAGTATATAAAATGGGGCAAGATACTAATAGTTATTCATTAATACAACATACGTGTTTCTTAAAAAAATACTGTTCTGTACAAATGTTAGCACTAAAAACCACAATGATTGTGAGGAAAACGGGGCAATGTGTATTAGAAATACACACACTAAAAGAGGCACCTAGTAAGTAAATGCTATTTAGTATTGTGCTTGTTAAAAAGCTAAGACATTCACAAATGTCCCAATAAATAAAGCCATGAGTGCATGAATGTAATCTGGTGTTTGCTTGTGGAAGTGGACGTGGGGAGACTGCACTGTGGTGTGGTGGACAGAGAACCTTGTAGCACTCAATGGACTACCCTGGGAAGCACAGGCACTTAGTGGACATGGGAGAGGATATATCTTTGGGCTTCTTGGCTTCTTGGCTTTTCATTGATTTACATCCCCTCATAAGCCCATCACATATCAAAGACAGTTATGGGTTATGTTCATGGTTCAGTACAGGGCCTTGGAATAGTGGTTCTTTTTTTTTGTGATCTTGGGGCTAACTGGGAGGGTGGTTTCCTGGAACTGTTTGGCATCTAACTACCCAAGGAAAAGGCTAAAATGTGAAGTACAGTTTCAACTGACCATATATTGCTCTCACACTGTCATGAAGTTGTAAAATTGCAGGCTGAGCCATCATCTTAAGTTAGCCCTTTATTTCCACATGGACCAATGCAGCTGGCTCCAGTTCCCTCCCTTACCCATCCTGTCTTGCAGTGAGAAATGCGCATCCGCAAACTGGGGGAACAAGAATCACAAAATCATTAAAGCATTACGCTAACCATTGTTCCCTAATCTGGCTTATAGAAGTCTCAGATGGACTTCACTTTGCTCTGCTTCTACTTTCTCATTTGTAAGTGAGGGTGATTATGGTGCCCGCTTACGAGGACTGTAATGGTCATAATTACCTGTGATGGTTCTAAGGAACGGGTCCTGATGGATAGACAGGGCACATTTCCCTGAAGCATTTCATAGGCTACATTTGATTTGATGATTTTCTTTTCCTGGTTGAACTATGTATGCAATTTGTCCCATGGGACCAGACAGAGGCTCACATTCCTACACAGTCCTGGTTCATGTGCAGGGTTGGGTAGATTTGTTCCTCAAGCAGGCCAGAATGATTAGACCAAAGGCCATTTCTTCCTGGAAAGGAGACAGGAAAGAGAAATAGCATCCATAGCCTTTCCAAGCTCAGAGAGAGACGAGGCCCGCAAGATAAGCACTCACCAGCCTGCACAGAGGTAGTTTGCTATTAACCATGGCCTCAGCACAGCTGGTCCTGCTCCTGGTGCTGGGGTTGAGTCACATAATCTCCCTTTAGCTATAATCTGCTTCTTGATGACTCTCCAAAATGAGGCTCAATTCCAGAGCTTTCCCTATCAATTATCACAGTTGGCCCAACCTGCAGTACAACCCAGATAGGTAATTGCATCTTTCATCTGCCCTCCTTTAGGGTTGTCTGCAGATGACTGGTGAGGGGCCAGAACATGACTCACAGGCTTGGGTCTGCTGAGCTGGAGAACAAAGGAGACAGGCTTGTGTGAGGTGCGGGAGAGTCGCATGCAGGACATTGATGAAGCATCCATGCAGGGGGTTGTGTGGGCTTCTCTGATGTTTGCTTCCAGCCGAACCTCTCACAAGCTCCTGAGTCATATGTTCTGTCTGATTCCTCCCCATGGGTGTTTTTCTCCATCTGTATGACTAGAGCTGGCTCCTGCTTGGTCTCTAAGCTCAGAATGCTTTCTCTCACTTTACAAACCCCATCTGCTTCCAAAGGGATTCCAGTTCCATAGCTGCAGTGCCCCTTCTTCCAGTGATCCCTTCTCCATGCTCTGAGCTCCTTCCTTCTATGGTTCTCATTTGCTCTTGGCAATTCTTCTCACTTTAGGTCTCTGGGAAGCCCAACTCTCCAACGATTGGCTGTCTTTATTATAATTATTGTTACCTTTTAATTGTGCAAAGGGGTTTCAGTTCAACACATCAGTTTATACATATAATACATCTTGATTAATGTCACTCCCTCCTTCCCAACCCTCTACAAAATACATGGTTCCATTTTCACATATGTATGTTAACCATAAAGATGGTATTCAGGTATTCACCCATGGTTCCTCTCTGTCTTCTGACAACTGCCAGGTGCTGAGACTTTGATGGAAATTCGCAGCATCACGGTGTGCGAACTGCCATGATCATCTCACTGTTTTGTGGCCTGCCCAGGTTTATACAATCTGTGCTCTGTAGGATTGTCAGGTGGACTCTGAGGCTGTCTTCTCATTTGGATGGGATTTCTCATTTCCCATAAAGGGCTCGGGCACATGCTAGAAGCATAGATTCAGGGCTTCATGATGAAGCAACTAGAGCAGTTGACTGGAAGTCTGTGGTAGAGAAATGTTTCTCCAAGAATGGAATTAAGCAGCCAGCATCCATGATTGATTTCTTTTGTTTATTTGGTTTTTAAATAACTAGCTCCAGTGGCTGCTGGGCTATACTCAGCCCACAGTTTAAGAAATAGTGCTTTAGTGAAAGAATGTGAGTTATCTTCTGAGAGTTACGGAAATATGGTCAAGTTGGGTATGAGCAAGGCCACCAGGCACTGTGGGTAGCAATTGGGTGAGTCTGAACCAGGTACTAACATTCGGGTGGAAGAATGACTTGGCAGTTTGGGTTGCCCTCTGTTTGCTTCACACGTGCATTTTCATAAATCCAACGCTTATGAAATCTATTCCCCAATGCTTTCATATTTATAACTAAGCTGAGTCCACTAGTGGCTCTATCCTACAGAGCAGCGTTAAAAGAAACACTGAAATAAGACGGCTTTTAAGGAGACTGAGTGTTGATTTGATAGGATGTTTAGATGAGACTTTTAAATATCAGCATTGGCTAGCAGGTAAATAATGATTGACATGAACACTGGAACTAATGGGAATTCAAAAAGAGGAGCAAGTCATAGGCTGGGTCAATGATGAGGGACTTCCTTGCTTTGCTTCCTCAAGGAATGAGGGATGTATCTAGGATGAAGGAGAGAATAGAGCATCTTTGTGAGAACCAAAGCGCAAATGGCAGCAGAACACTAGGTAGTGTTAACTTCGTGTTACTACTAGACATTGGTTCTCACAGGGAGAGTAGCCATCAGGAGGCTTTTCAGAACCATGGGGAGATGATGACCATTGTGGAGAAACTACTGGCACTTAGTGAGTGAAGAAAGGGGTCACTCTTAGCACCTTGCAATGTGTCATAGGGGTACACAAAATGGGAAATGTTCCTGAAAATTTTGAATGACTTTCAGGTGTTCTCCTGGATATTTGGCTGAAAACTTGCATGTAATTATCTCCATGGAACCTGTACTACATGATAGATGGATGGATGGATAAATTGATGAATAGATGTTAAATGGATAGACAGAGGGATGGATAGACAGATAGGTAGATGGATGGATAGATATAGATAGATGTTTTAATTTTATTCTATTTCTCAGGGAAAAAAACACAGCAGGTAGATTATTATTGGTTGTCTTCAGAGTTTTGCCAAACTTGGTTCACCATTTCAGAAGTAATTCCTCTATCCAGTGACAATAATTATCATGAAAATTAGAAACTACCAGTTTGGGTTTGTAGCTCGGACATACACGATAATTCTGTGGATGTATATATGAATGTGCTTAATTAGCTTTCAATGCATAATGCCAAATGTAAAGGGAAAGAATTGATAGCATTCTGTGAGTATTCTTTTCTGAAATCCACAATAACATCAAAAGTGGACAGACACATCACTGGGTCTTCTAGTGTAATCAGATCTGAGACTTGCATTTGAAAATTTCTTCACTAAAATTCATTTTCTTCTATATTTATTGTGAGGTCACTGGGTTAACATTTTTCCGAGCGTTAGTGATGTTATCAAATATTTGTAACCAAAAAGGGATGTGGAGTCTGATAAACATGAAAACTCCTGGATTAAAACACCAAGGAGAAGTAGTAAAAAGACATGCTTGCTTAACTTCAGTCGTAATGGAGCTGGGATGGGTTTAGAGTGAGGTGAACATTTTGGCTTTTGATTTTTCCCTCCCTGGTTCAAAGTTACTGCTTTGCTCAAATATATCATTCTAAGTCATTTGGCAAGCAATAAACAGGCTTGAATATTTGTGTAGTTTTAAAATAATATACTTGTTAGGCAGACTTATGGAAGAACAGATGTGGCCAAAAAATGGCTGCTGTGTGCCTTTTTTTTTTACCGCCATCTTCAGTCAATGTATCAAAAACGGTTACCTCATGCTGAGAAGCCCCAGCATTATCTCCATAAGCCATCTTCAGGATAAGAAAACAAGCCTGCAGCTCTCCCCCCCCCCCAACCCCCAGCTCGTTTATGTATTTTAGCTCTGCAGAGAAATTTTGTTCTTCTTTTTAAGAAACTAAGTAATGCATCTTGACAGATGGCTGATGTTTCCCAGAACTTCATACCTCAGAAACCATCCCTTGGGCAAGTTTTGGGTCCACTTGAAACCAAACTTTGGCAAGAGGGAGGGGGAGAAGTCTCATGCTTCCTCGAGGATATAATAAAATGGCGAAAATTCACTTGCTAGCTATCTCTGGTGCTCTGCAAAACAGCTCAGTGGAAAAGGTCTGCCATTGTTTCAGTAGAAGTTTTGCGTAGTTGTTAGAGAATTGATGCCAGGCACAGTTTGCCAATATCAAAAGGTGGCTACATGTATCACAAGGACTTACAATATTCTGCCAGGAATAAAACAAACTTACTGTTTTCCCTTAGAAAGGCAGTACGTTTTAATATGTCATTTTCAGAAAAGAATGAAGGTATAAAATCAATTGTGGTTGGTTACAGAAATATAAGCTGTGCATTGCTATTGGGTGTTTAATAAAAAGATCACGTCTACCCAGTCTCAAAGATCCTTCTGTCATTATTGAGATAGGTTTCTTTCTATCTTTAGGGATCAATTACCAGAGAACTCATTTGATGCTGGGATTGTAGCCACGTGCCAGGTTTGCTGTTTTTGAGCCTGCAGAACAGTTGTTTATGCCGCGGAGAATCTACAAAAGTAATAAATAAATGAAGCATAGTCATGGTGAGGTGGTAGCTTTGATCAATCCAAAAAAGAAAAATACACGGCCATTTTCATTAGGAAAAAAAACTCTCCATAATATGATATAACCAGGGAATTTTGGTCCAATAGTCACTTTAGGTTGATGGTCTGTTGCTGAGTCAAGAGGACTGACCCATCTAGATATAGGTACATGTTGGCTACAACTAGCCTTGGGTTAGATGTTGGCTACAATTGTCAGCAGGGCAATAATGTTTGTGACATTGAGCTTTTTAGGGTAATGCTCACTAGCTAGGCACCTTCTGAGTAGCATCAATGACAGCACTGCTTTCTGATGAATTTTAAGTATAAATAAAAGTAGAAAAAAAGGCAATAGTATAATGATTTCCCCATATTCTCATCACCCAGCTTCAAAACTTGTGACCACTTTGAGCAAGTTACTTAACCAGATGCTCGCCTCTAAAGTGGCAATAATGATTCTCATATCCTAGAAATCTTTCAGACTTCATAAAGGCAATGTGACCTATGACCTTTCAGCAGAAGATGGTATATCATAAATGGTCCAACATATTTATTTGATTTTATAGCAAGAATTTCTGGGATTTAAAGACATGGCAGACTACGCTGAATAGCAAGCAGGATCTTTGTGGTTTTATTGGTCTTTACAATTTTGCAGAGTATGTAGACCTTAACACACAATAACTAGACCTTACATTTCAAAATTAACTCTCTAAACAGTACAGGAGTCCAGTGCTTAGCTAAGCAAGGTTGTGTCTCAGTGGACATTCTACCTGACCCATGAAAGAAAAAAGAATAGTTCTTAAAAACATGATGCTGTCCTTGGAAACACACTAGGTAGAGTAAAACAACAAGTGGGCAGCTAAACAGCCTTATCCCCAGAAAGGAATAGCTCTTTTCCTACTCTTCAGGCCACCAGTATTGGATGATGTCACAGTTAATAACCGTCATGCCATTTCCTTCTGGCTATTCTCAGAGGTCTGCATGGCAGAGAGAAAGCATTCTTTTGGTGCCAAAAATAGTTGTTGTTCTTGGGTCTGAAGGAGAAACCTTTTGCTGAGCTTTAGAATTCAGAGTGATTAATTTGCAGAATGCTCAGGAGGACCAATTAGATGGGGCTCCTCTGTTTAAAGAGGTAAGGGTAGGGGGGACAGTACTCTCAGTGAATGAAAATTCACTTGCTATCCGTGTTGCTCTGCAAAACAGCTCAAACCCGAACAAAATGAGGAGAGAGAAACAAAAGAGAAGCCGGTTTACAATCAATTGATAGGGATTGCCAGGATCTTCAAAAAGTCAGTAGTCAGAGGAACAAAGGATATAGGATTTTAAAAAATCTAGAACTTACATTTTCAAACCAAAAGAAAGTTAATTTTAATAAGAAGGTTAGAATTGTAAAGCACCCGCTTTTACGTTTTCATTCGTTAATTTATACTATGTAACCTAGGACAAAACTGTTTCCTATTCTACTTAGTTTTTGGTATATAGAAAAGATGGGGCTGGGAAGGTGGCTCAGTGGTAGAGTGCTTGCCCCATATGCATGAGTCCCTGGGTTTGATTCCTCAGCACCACATAAACAGAAAAAGAAGTAGTTCTGTGGCTCAAGTGGTAGAGCACTAGCCTTGAGCTGAAGAGCTGAGGGACAGCATCCAGGCCCAGAGTTCAGGCCCCACAACTGGCAAAAGAAAAGAAAAAAAAAGAAAAGAGATCATAAGAAACTCCAAAAAGATGAAAAAAGATAACACAGCTGGATGGGTGTACACTGCTTGAAGAACTAAAGACTTACTTCATCATCATCAATATTATTTTCATTAATTAGGTGATGGGGAAATGTTTCTGAATGGCATTTCTATGGCCATTGATTGGTGGTGAAGAGTAGGTAATGAACTTGATAGGCTTATCTTGATGTAAATATTCTGACATTTTCTTGTACTAAATTGTCAAACAGTTAATGTACCAAGCACATCTTTACTCTTCTCCTTGGCATCAAGTATCTGTTGACTCTTTCTAAAACAATGACTCCAGGATATGCCTGACAGGAGAGCAGTTTTAAAGCAACATCGAAATCCTTCTGTTTTGATGCTAGTGCAAGGTCTTTAATGAAATGATAGATTAGACAAGTGATGGAATGAATGAATGCACGGTGTGTAATTTCATGGTCTATCCCAATGCTCTTGATAGACATCTCTTAGACCATGCCTTCCTCCCCGTCTCTTTGTTCCAGCTTAATCCTGCATAAATCAGCTAGTTCACTTCATACACCCCCCTGCCCTCACCCTGGCATTTTACAACCTACCTTATTATACCTTTTTATTTCAGCAGAAGTTAAAGTTTGGAAGTCTTTCAATTTAAAAAGCAACTCTAGCCAGCAAACCATTCCCTGAAAAACACAATATTGGTTAAATAAGGCACCATCCATGGTGAGTCAACTTAGAAGTGAATTTCAAAGTACTTTTAGGTGGCTATTTCTGGTAAAATAATAATAATAATACTTAGGATTTAAAGATAACTTTTCCTCTCTCTCTCTTCCCCTCTCTCCTCTCTCCACAACCCCCTCCCCAGATAGTAGGGACTGAATTCATTCCCTTGTACATATTAAGCATATTTTCTAGCACTGAACTCTAATATTTCTCTTTTTCATGGTTACATTGCTATTGCTGTAGTAAGTAATTGTTTAACATGAGTTCAGGATTGACCTGAATAGGTAAATCTTATTTTAAGTTATGTTTCTTGATTATTGTTGTAACCACAAATTTACAAAACAAATGACAGTTCGACTGTGTCCCAAGGACACACAGCTGGGAAATATTGAATTGAAGGTTTGTGTTCTGTTCTACTCTGAATAGGTCCCAAGCTCCGGATCGTAAGCTCTTTGCTGTTGGACAGAGAGGAAAGAAGAAAGATTTAGGTCAGAATTTTTTTTTCTTGCATAGACAGTCAGACTTCTCACTTAAGCACAGGGCTTGTGAGATGTTTAACTTGACATTGCATTTGTTTCACTGGCTTTGTTAGCACACATTCCCATAATAACCTGTTCTTCAAAGATAATGAGAGCTGGGCACTGGTGGCTCACGCCTGTAATCCTAACTACTCAGGAGGCTGAGATCTGAGGATCTCAGTTCAAGCCAGCCTGGACAGGAAAGTCAGTGAGACTCTCATCTCCATTAAACCACCAGAAAACCAGAAATGGTGCTGTGGCTCAAGTGGTAGAGCGCTTGCCTTGAGCTGAAGTGCTCAGGGACAGTGCCTAGGCTCAGAGTTCAAGCTCCATGACAAAAAAAAAAAAAAAAAAGATAATGAGAGAAATTTTTAGAAGAGATGCCCACAAGAACTCGGACATTGAATTATAATGACCTCAATGTAAAACAGTACATGAGATATGTTATGTGAAGAGCAAATTAACTTTTACAACTTTTCTGGGAGTTGATACAACAAATAAAAAATAGATATGGTTTTTAATAGAAGTGTAACGGGTCCATAAGTCAAATGGAGTAGAATGACAGGAGGACGACATGAGGGAGGGGACGCAAAAGAGGAAAAGAGTGACTCCTGATACTTTTGTAAGTGAATGGGAAGAGAAGTAATGTGCTTGCGCTGTAACTGGAGAAGGAACAATATTAAAGCAAATGTCCGTCTTTGCCCAATCCCAGACTCTCCTGTACCCTTTCCCCAATTTACCCCTCTTCAGGGTCATCTCCATATTCAGACATCACTTTATTTTCATATTCATTGACTTCTGAGCCATAGGTGCAGGTTGCCTACATTTCCTCCCTTCCTTTGGCATCTGGGCCCAATGCTCTCAGATTATTCTTTGCTAGGACTCCTACTCTGTCTTTTATAGGCTCATTTCCTCTCCCCTAGCTGTTAGAGGTTAGAGATCATCAGCCCTGCCTTCTCCTTCTCTCTCCCTGGTGAGCTCAGCCACCTCTGTCCCTGGTATACACTGGAGTCCCAGTGTTATCTCCAGTCTTTGTCTCACCTGGTAACTCCAGGCTGACAAATCAGCTATCTACTTTCCATCTTTTGAATGCCTCCAAGGTACTCCAGGCCCAGGACTGAGCTCTGGATCTTCTTTTCCAGGCCTGGCTCTCTTTCATTGTCTCCTTCGGTAAACACCACTATCTCTCTACTTGCTCAAGCAGAAGCTAAGGGACTAAGTGTCTTGTATTGGTTGCCAAGTCCTATTGAAGTAACCCTCTATGAAATTTCAGGAATCTCTCTCCTTTTATCTCCACTGCTATTCTAGTCCACGCCACCATCATCTCTTTACTGAATACTCCAAGTCATCTTCCTGCCACCTGCCTGTGTCCATACTAGCCTCCCGACAGTCACCTCTCTTGATTTCTTCAAAATATAAATCAGGTCCTGTCATCCTTATGCTTAGAATCTTTCAATTATTATTATTCATTCTTCTTGGGCAAAGTTATAATCCATCCTGTGATTGCTAAAGTGTGCTCTTAGACTGCATCCATATCAGCCAGTATTGTGTTTTGAAAAACACAAAACTTTGGGTCCTGTGAACATTAATATTGTCAATTTACTTGGATTGAAAATCACCTGGGGGATTAATAAAGCAGACTCCTGGGTATGTCTGTGCAGGTATTTCCTGAGATGATTTGATCATGAGGGTTTGGACCTAATGAATGGATTAGTTCCACAATGGGTTCATAATAGGATATTCTTTTTGGAAGGTGGTAAAAAGTAGGGGAGGTGGGACCTAGTTGGAGGCAAATAGCTCACTTTGGCATGTCTTTGGGACCTACTTCTTGCCCTGGTCCTTTCCTGTATGCTCTTTTCTTTGCTTCCTGGCTGCCGGGCTGTGAACTTCTCTGCCCTACCACATCCCCCTGTTACGGTGGACTGGGACCTATGAAACGGTGAGCCAAAAGGAATTCCTCCCCTTCCGCTGCTTAATATGCAGTATGGTCCCATCTGAGACTTTCTAAACTGAATCCTCTGGGAAGGGAGTCCACAACCTCTTATATGTGGGGGAAGGTTTTAAGTTCTCTAGGTGATTCTAATGAATGCGTGCAGGTTTGACAACCACTTTGCCAGCCACCTTTCTGGCTACAGATGGCTTCTTGTTCTCACAATCCCTCGTACAGTTTGTTTGTTTTTCTTTATTCATTTCCTTGTAAAGCATGTTTCTTCCATTGATGACACCTTGGCACAACTCTTCCTTTTCCCTAATGCTTTTACCTTTTGTTCTTTCCTAGTTAGTGTCTACTTCGAATATAAGCTCAAGAAAGCTGCCTAGGACCAATTCCTTTGAATAAGACACATTGTTCATTTGCAGCACTGTATTTTTCTTATTCCATCTCCTCTACTAGACTATAACAAGAACTGGATCTATTTTCTGTTGAGATAACAAAATACCTAAGCCTTGTTTAGTTCTAAAGGAAAGAGATTTATGTAGTATACAGTACTAGAAATCCAAGAGTTTAACTACACTTGCATCTGTTCAACTTCTAGGGAAGATTTTATGGGGTGTCAGATCAAATTCCCTGGGTAAAAAAAGCTGGCATATGTAAAAGAGCAGTTCCCTACTCTCATGGTCACTAGTTTAGTCCATAGAGACTTAACTCGAGTCAACCAAGTTAATCTAGCTTTGAGATTCATGGATATACAGTTGTGGGTGAAGGTTATTAATCCATTCAAGGTGGTGTCCCCATGAACTAATCACCTCCCACAAAGCTCCACCTCCTAAAGGTAAAATCTTCTCAATGTTGACACCCCAGGGGCCAAGCACATCAGCCTGTGGGACAAACCATAGCAGGGACCATATCTGGCTTTGCTTGTTATTGAGTGCATGCAGTGTCTAGGGCTGGCAATAGAGCACAGAGTCAAGTATTTGCTGAATGAATGCATGTACATGTAAATGAAATTCCTCTTACTGTTTGAGAACAGAAATGCTAGAGCTCAGGTGGTCAGCTCCCAGTCCCCTTAATTTATAAAATGGAACTATCTACATCATAGACTTGCTGAGATAATTGAATGGACAAAACCAAGCACATAGCTCGGTACAAGCACATGGCTAGGCACAAGCACATGAATAGGTACAAATCCGAGTTCTGCTGACCATCGTCGTCTTCATCATCATCATCACTCCATTGTCATTCCAGGCTCCATCAACTCTCATGGTCAGTCATAATGGTTAGGTGTGGTTGAAACCAAACAGTGTAATTCCTGACAAGAATGTACATTTTTAAAATTAGGAATGTACATTTTTAAAATTAGAAGATGCAAATAACTTTTTTTTTGCAATTTCCCCAATAGTTTCAAAGATTATTATTTAATGGATTTGCTCCAGAAAATTCTCATTAGCCCTGTCATTGGTTTCTAATGTCATTCACTTTATTTATTCAACAAATAATTAGGTAACATTTGGATGCACTGTTAGCTTCTGATGATACACATGTGTCTGGGATCCTCTTAAGTTGCCAGTCAAGTGGAGAACAAGGCATTTACAGTCTACTGAGGAAATTCTTCCCTCCCATGTCAACAAATGTCGCAGAGGACTATAAAATCTTACATGTTGTGAAACGGAGAGACAAATTCTAAGTAGGGAGAGGTTTTTTTCCACCTTGACTTCCTACCTTTGGCACTCAAGAAAAAGCCATCTGGACTCATACCGAACCAATCGACTTCAATTAAACTAGTCTCTCTGAGTTAATACCTTGTTTTCCTACAAACAGGGTATCCATGAAAAGCAGCTAAGGGGAGAACCGAAGGGTAGGGCCAGCAGAGAAATCCACATCATTCACCTAACTCTCAGGTGCTTGTGTGCATGCTGAGGGGTTGAGGACTCTTTCTTACTTAGGCCCTCTGTCTTTTGGCTGGCTCTAATTTCTTTACCACTACAAACACCTGGTGCCAAGGCTGCTTTTTTTTTCCATAGAAGTTTGAAAGCAATCCCTTTCTCTTTTCTCAGTTTGATCCATGTCTTAATCTTTGAACAGCATCAAATATTCATCAGCGTTTGATGAAGCTGGGCTTGGGAGGACCTGGAGTTTTCAAAAGCAGGTCTTGCTTTACTCTGGGGAAAATCCTGTGAGTCTTTCAACAAGACTTGCCTCTAAATCATCAGACTCAATTAGTTTGATTTCAAAGAAATGCCCAGGTGTTGTTTGACCTTCAACCATATGGACTGCTGGAATAAATGAAAAGTCTTGCTCATTCCTGTAAAGCCTGAGGAACTAGATAGGGGCAATGCCTTTTCATAGTCTCTTGAGTTTTTTTTTGTGTGTGGAGGGATTATTAGGTTTAGACCAAATGAGCTATTCAGTTAGTAATATGCACAGTTGCTGGCTGCTGCTGCCTATGTTGAGAAAGAGCCAGGTGTGAGTGGTTACGAAGCACTACTAAAAAAGTGAGAGGTGCATAGAAGAGTTTGGACATGTGGACAGGGCCTGGGATCTAGCACTTGGAGGCAACATCCCAGGAGACAAGGCAAGCCAACAGCTAAACTCCGTGTTAGAGCCATTATTGTGACTGATTGTGACAATCCAGAGTGACTCTTTTATTCCTTTTTCCTAATCTTTTCCCATCATGATACCTTAAGATTTCCTTGGGTTTTGATTAGGAGGCTGTTCTACCTAGCATTCTATGCCTTCACAGCTTAAATATTTCCCAAGAACTGGGGCTGTGTTGAAAGTGACTGGCATGTAGCTTTGGAGTTAGTTCTAAATCATGGGTCTGTTTGCCATTTGGAGGACATGAGACAAGTTACGTTACTCAGCTATAAGACGGAGTTGACACAATTCTTGTGTTAGCATTTTACACAGCATGCTTAAGTGGAAGTGCATATGACTCCAACCAAAAAGGGATATAATGTCCAAATGCATTTGCTGAGGCCATTTGGACTGCACTCTGCCTTGGATATAGTTAGGCTTATTGTTAAAAGAACCTGGAAAGCTCTGCAGGAAATAACTCTGGTTAACATGGTTGAATTCAAAGGGGCAAAATGTATTTGAGTTCAAGAATCTTTTCCATGGGCTGGGAAGGTGGCTCAGTGGTAGAGCACTTGCCTTGCGTGCATGAGGCCCTGGGGTTCAATTCCTCAGCACCACATAATCAGAAAAAAAAAGGGCAGAAGTGGCTCTGTGGCTCAAGTGGTAGAGTGCTAGCCTTGAGCTGAAGAGCTGTGGGACAGCGCCCAGGCCCAGAGTTCAGGCCCCACAAGTGACAAAATAAAATAATCTTTTCCTTAAGCTAGAGGCATGACTCAAGTGATAGAACACCTGCCTAGCAAATCAAGGACTCTGAGTTCAAACCCCAGTTCCACATAAGAAAGAGGGAAGCAGAGAGTCTGAGAAGGGTTGTAACTTTTCAAGGACACATTGCTAGAAAGTGATAGACCAACAGTTCAGTCCAGATTTGTCTGCCAGGACATCCATTTTGCTCCAAATAGGCATCCTGATTATCTAAGGTGCAAGCTTTAGTCTCATCCATTGGCGTACCCTGGACATTGTAGAATTAAGTTCCCACTGGAAGCTAACCTGTACAGCAAGAAAATCCTTTGAGTACTTATACTGAAAATTAAAGTAAATGTTTTTTTTTAATTGTCAGGGTTGTGTACAGAGGAGTTACAGTTACATAAGGTAATAAGTACATTTCTTGTCAAACTTGTTAGGGAAATGTTCTTAAAGGCTTACTTAAATATTCTTACTCCAGTTACCAAGTCATCTTCCTCCGTGGAGATCAAGAACATTTTGTTGGTAACATGAACAATTCTTAGTATCACAACACATATTCCTTTGGTTGATTCTGAATCACCACTTAGCCTTGGAAGTCATGTTTTCCTGTTGGACCGTTTCTTTCACTATTTGAGAGTACCCTGGATTTATGCTTGTTCTAGTTTGATATCAGTTATGATTTTGTATGTAAGGTATCATCTTGATTAGGGACCCATCTATATGTCTAAAGTTGATGAATTGTTTCCTGCAAAGGAAAGTTTTTTTGATGTACTTTATTTTGAGCTTACCTACTTCGTGGCATTTATGGAAGGCGAGGAGGAGATGGGAAAATGTGTCTCTTGAGGATAATCTTGAAGAGTGGCATATTTCCAGTTGCATATTTGGTAATGCACGAAAGAGGCATTTGTTTCCATTAGAATGACAAGATGTTGAGGGAACAGCATGAAAGCAAAGGGCAAGTCTGTTCAATATGTTGTAGACACATCAATGACCTGGTGATAGAAACCTAGAAAAGGCACAGAGGCTGTCCTCATTTGTGATGAATACTCCTTCTTCAATTGCCACAATGCTCCTAACTTACAGTTCATACTATCTACAGTTGGAACTTAGTGTGCTGCCTGCCTGCCATTGGTTTTGATCACTAGAGAAGCTAGTAAGTGCCAAGTACTGATACACAGCACTAAAGAAATAAGGGGCGAACTTCTGTCCATTGCAATTCAAGATCTATTCTAACTTGGCTTTATATTCGGTGGTTAAAATGGCTACTTCGGACTCCTTTTGTTTACCCATATACAGGCCAATTTCTAGAGGAGTGGGCATTCCAACGATTGTTTCTATCTCAGAAGCACATACTCTCAGGGCTGGGAAGGTGGCTCAGTGGTAAAGCGCTTGCCTTGCATGCATGAGGCCCAGGATTCAATTCCTCAGCACCACATAAGCAAAAAGAAAAAGCCAAAAGTGGTTCTGTGGCTTAAGTGGTAGAGTGCTAGCCTTGAGCTGAAGAGCTGAGGGACAGCGCCCAGGGCCAGAGTTCAGACCCAATGACTGGACCCCCCCCCCAAAAAAAGAACATACTCTCCAATCTCAGTTTCTTAACGTTTTGTGTATATGGGATTCTAAGTAATACTACATAATAATTCTAAATAATACTAAAACCTGCATTTCAGAGGTTGATTCTCCAATGTTAATGGCTCCTCAGGTAAATTTTCTTTTCCTTTGCCAGTGTTTAGCCTCAAAATGATCACCTGCAAGAAGTCACACTTCAGAAATAAAGAACCTGGAGATCATGTAGTCAGTCCCAGCATTTGACAGATGGGGAAACTAAGACAGGAAGAAGCATTAAAGTGTTTGACAGAAGCTTAAGCATGACTATCATGTAGGACTTACAGGTTTCGTGTCCACTCTTAGGTCAAAAACCATCTTGCTACACTGCAGTTGACATCTCCTTTTCCTGCCCTAGATACAGGGAAAAACCTATATTTTAGCAGGAAGAAATGATAATTTTGGTTTCCCATTATTCACAGAATAAGCGTCAAACTGGTTCTATCTATGAATGCCATTCACCTCATAAAGAATAGGCCGTTCTTCCATCTCTTCCACCTCCTTTGCATTCCATTCTGCAGATATTCCCAACTGTTGGTAGATCACCAATGAACCAGAGGCTTGCCTCCAGGGTTAGCATGTGCATGGTCTCCATAGCAGTTTTCCTAACAAAGTTCCCTTCGTGTATAGGTATCAAATTTCATCCTTTCTTCTCAGGCAGGTTTTCTCTGATCTCCTAAATATAGATTACAGACATGTTCCTGTGTAACCTTTATTCAAGCTGACAGAAATTGTGTTGCTATTTCAGTGCCTTTGTCCTGAACTCGATGTTACTGTCTAAAGAAGGACTGTGTCTTGTTGAAGGATACATGGTGTGCCATTTTATCTAGGAGACACAGAGCAGGTCTACAATAATCTCTCACTTAGGATTTTGCTTCCCACAGTTTCACTTAGCCAAGTAGGGCCCAAAATAGTAAACAAAAACTCACAGAGGTGAGTTTTAAATGTGTGCCTTGCTCTGTGTAGCGTTGTGAAATCTTGTGCTCTTTGCTCAGATTGTGAATCACTTCTTTGCCCAGTGTATCCATGCTGTGTACACCACCTATCTATTAGTCTCTTAGCAGCCATCTCAATGATCAGAGAAACTATGTCAGTAATGGTGTTCCAGTAACCCTTTTATTTAATAAAGTCTCCAAAGCCTAAGAGTAGTAAAGCTGTAACTCATCTACATGTGCTCCAAAGAAGCTGTCCAGGTGTGTCCTTCAAGTAAAAATGTGAAAGTTCTCTACTTAATAGTGAAAAGAAAAAAAATCTATACACTGAGATTGCTAAGACCCTATGGTAAGAAGGAATAGAGAAAGACATAGTGTATATTGGGATTTGTACTATCCATGGATTCAGCCATCCGCAAGGAGCCTTGGAATGTTTCCCAGGTAAGTAAGTGGGAGATCTTTCTCAAAACTTCTCATCAACAAGCTTTAGAGGGAGTGTTATCACTGGCAGAGTCCATCTCAACTGAAGCCAACAGCCTTTCATGACTGATGCCAGCTTGTCTCAGCCCATCTCGCCTTTTACCATTTGCCAATGTTAATCTTGACTACAGGCAGATCATTATCAGCTTGGATATTTTGGTATGTGAACCTCAGCATCATCTTGCAATTAACTTAGCACTTCTAAATCACCATACATCTATTATGTAGCAAGTTCTTTGTACATAATGAGATTTTCCTGTGTTATCTTCTTACAGTCACCTTGCATGATAGTTATTGTTCTTTTTTTGGATATGGATTCAGAAACTAATCAATTTCCAAAATTTCTCAGGGCAAATAAGGTGAACACTCTAGATGTTTCTAGCTTGCAGGTTCCATCCCCGTTTCATTGTCAGTGAAGATGTGATTGTTGACTTATGTTGTAACCGCCTCTTTCGTGGTGGATCTGGTAGGCTATTTAGACTTGACCATCCCCTGCAGCAACTGAAATAACTAACCAAGAGTAAGGAGCAAATGGAAGCCGTTTCACTTGGCTCAGTTGCCCCCATACCCAGGTATGGCCAACCATGTGGCCTTTCCTTGCCTTTCAAGGAACTCTCTTGAAATGAGTGGAAATTTAAATAGAGTCATTTTGTGACTCTTCAAAGAAAGTGTTTTATTTCTGTAATTTTTTTTACAACTCTTAGACAAGAGAGTACACACCTACAGTATTATCTGTGACAAATTCTGGTGATTATAGAGCACAAGGGGAAATCTTGTAGATGCTGAAGGCCCCCCAGTTGAAATCTATGCTTCACTATTTCTACACTGTAATCCTCATTCTCCAATGCAGGGATTGAACCCAGAGCCTTGTGCATGTTTGTGCAAGTGGTCTACTACTGAGATAAACCTCTCTGTATTATTTATAGATTAGGAAGAAATAGGATAATAATAGCACAAAATCTCATGGGTTGTACTTGGGATTGGAAGAGTAAAGGAACACTGTGTGGTCTTAATCGATGGTGATTTTTACATCAGCAAAATATGGAGACATTTCTGTTTTTCACAGTTTGGGAAGTGCTACTTGTGTTTGATAAGTTGTTAAGCATCCCACAGAGCATCCTTTAAGCCCTCGCAGGAAAGAATTACTTAGAATTAAGTCTTGATAGTACCAAGGTCAAGAAACCAAGGTCAGAAAAATCACAAACATGGAGACGTCTGACACCCAGATGAAAAGTTATATAAGATATTGTTGAAATATTTCACTTTTCAGCAGAGAGTTTTTGAAGTCATGAAAATTACATTGCCAGGCCTCCCCTGGGGTGTGGTACGGTAAGGTTCTGTGTCAGTTGTTTAAGATCTCTACAAAGCCGGATTCACATCCCATTGGAGGCGCTCTGTTTTTTTCATTTCGAAAGTCTTACCATTCACCATCACTGTGGCAAGAGGAGGTTTATTTGTTTTTATGTATTTTTTTGGTAACTTAAAAGCATCTTGAATTATTAAACCAGTTATTTTCCAGGCCTGCAAATGTTTTCAGCATGTTGAGTCAAGTTTTCCTGAGTCAGCACATGCGTGGTATTGCATCTTGGAAGGCCTCAGTCAGAGCCATTTCTTTCAGATGCTGGTATTTCTCTTCTGGTTTGAGACGTTTGGGGGTGCTCGAATGTGTTTCTCCTAGACTCCCACATTCAAGATCCCCCATGAGAATGAGACTCAGGAAGACGAGAGACACCCCATCCTTTCAGGCTAATGAAGGGAATAAGGACGAACAAAAGAAACAAAACAACAACAACAACAAAAACCTCAAGTGATCATTTAATATTTTCCCCTGATGTGCAGAACCCACTGTAGTGCTCACTTCCAGCCAAACCATAAGGTAAATCTTCCAACTCAAGCTTTATGAGAGACAATACGAAAGTACTTTGAATTACAATGAATAAAAAGAAAATCCTTTTTCTGCTCCAGAGCCAAATGCTTTTAGAGGAAGCAGGGCAAGGGGTGGGGGGAGAGGGGAGAAAAAGAAAAAAAAACCACTCAAGTTCAATTGATGAAAACCAGTCAAAATATGGCCTTGTTGTGGCTGATACAACTCTCCTGGCTGGTCCCAAAACACAGAAGGCGTTTGTAGGCCTGGCCATCTCCATGCTGATTGAACTAGATTTCTGTGTCAAGGGCTCTTAAGCCCCAGGCCTGCACCCCACATTTCCTGAGTGTGTTATTGAAAATTATCAGACCTGTTTTCTTCATTACCAGGAAGCTGAAAAATGACTTGGGTTAAAAAAAAAAAGGCTTAAAGGCTTTCTACAAGCAGAACAGGCTAACTCTTAAACAAACATCCTTAGTGCTCTTAAGTATGTACTGTAGAGCAGCACAGACCTGAAGGAGGTTATCATTCATAAGAACTCCATGGAAATTTCTCGAATGGATACCTTCCCACCTACATCTGCGTATTAAGCACTTAAATCATATGGATGGCTCTCAAGAATAAATGGGTTCATTCTTTTTTTTTTTTTTTTTGTCGGTTGTGGGGCCTGAACTCCAGGCCTGGGTGCTGTCCCTCAGCTCTTCAGCTCAAGGCTAGCACTCTACCACTTGAACCACAGTGCCACTTCCAGCTTTATTTCCTATGTGGTGCTGAGGAATCCAACCCAGGGCCTCATGCATGCGAGGCAAGCACTCTACCACTGAGCCACCTTCCCAGTCCCAATGGGTTCATTCTTGATTTTTACCTTACACAACTTTTAGGGATACAGAAGCATAAACCAAGAAAGTTTTCTCCTTGTGTCAAGGAATCTGAATTCTGGGTAATGAAATCCTCAAATTAGGCCCTAGGAAACCTGCAAAGGATAGTTCTGATCGTCCAATTCAGCTGCACAGATGAAGATTATCTTCCCCGCTTCTCCCCCCACCCCTACTAATCCTTATGTGAGGGAGAAGGGATGCCAGCTGAGGGCCTTTGGTACTCGTAATCCACATGGCAGCAGAGATTTGACTGATGTCAACTCTTCCGCTGTTTTCAGCTAAGGCTGGATTTCTCAGCTCTTATTTCTCCTTATATTACTAACAGTTCATTAATAACCCCTTGTCTGCCCCGCCCCCCCCCACGTTTTTATCCCTCACTCTGTCTTTGAAGAACCTGAATTCATTTAATCTTTCATTAGTGGTAATTATTTACCTGTCAGACCCCAGCTGGACAGCATCATTGAAATGAGTCACATCACATTGCTTCTAGTCCCTGCTTCCAAACAATTAAATCAGACAAGCACCTGTGTAAATATGTAATATTTGGTGATAAGAAAATGAATAGGCAACAGAACCAGAGCTGAACACGAGTGTTTCTCTCTGGGGACTTTTTGCATGTGCTTTTAAACAGTTCTGCTTTGCCCACTCCTCCTACAATCTTGTTTGTTTGGAAATTTTAGCTAATCTTCTGTCACTAGATTTGGGTTGTTTGCAGACATTAAAATGTGAAGGGATTCCTCTCACGGATAAGCTGAGATAGGATTTGATTTGGGTGAAATACTAATGCGTAATTTTCTTTCTTTTCCAGGACGAAAATGTCTGCCTCCATGGACTGACCGCTGAAACTCAACTTAGACAACAGTGTCTACCTTCATTTGTATGGAGGACTTCTGTGATGCTTTGTGGATTAGTGAAAGGAGCAAGTGCTTTGTAACCAATTAGTGAAAGGAGCGAGCGCTTTGTAACCAATCAGGTAAGCCTGACTTTAGCTCTTTAGATTGCTGTGATCTTTAGCACCTTCAGGAACTCAACTTTCTAATCTGTGCAACGGATTCTGGACTTAGCCACCCTTGCCAACATGTCCAATACAAGCTCAGCACCTGGTGAAGCAGAACACACATCATCTGAGACCACAAACCCATCACCTCTGGGAAGTTCCACATTTGATTAGCTGTAGCCTGAAATTGTTGGGGTGAGATTTTTTAAAATTGCTTTCTGGTGGAGAATACATTTTAACAATATGAAGTACCACATGAAAGAATTTCCTGCTTGTTTTTTAGAAGGGAGCCTCTCCTGCTTTGGGGACTCATGTGTTCTTTACCAAAGATTCATGTAGACTGACCTAAAGGAAAGTTCTGCAGCTAGACATTGAAAATCACTCATCCCTCCTTACCATCATTTTTGTTTTCTGTAAAATTGGTTATTTTAGCTGTTTAGCATCCATCCCCAGGTGGTAGTTTGGGGGCCCATTTCCATTTCATTCATTTTGCATCTATGGGTATATTTTAGTTAT